ATGCTGGCAAGTGACTGTGTCAAAATCCCCTGCTGCGGGGGGAGAGATCATAGGGAGATAACAACATGTTTTCCGCTATTGCCCGGGACTAACCGGCTTGTTCAGTGCTGGAGCAACTCGACAGCACTGGCAGCCTGGAGAGCACGCGGGCCTTCGCTTATCCCCGTCGGCGCCCCAGCCACCCCCGGGCCCAGCGCCCCACGCAACGCGGGGCAGAAAAAGGGGCGTCACCTCTCTAGCCCCCGGGGCTGCGTCACCCCCTCGCGTTTTCTGGGACTCCCCCCTCCCTTCTGCTGACACCTCCAGTCTGTTCTGAAAGCAAATAAGGCTGTTTAAAGACAGGTCGTTAATCCATTAAACAGTCCATGCCCTAATTTAACGTCCTCCTCACTATGCTTTGCTCTCCCGCTCTGCCAACCAGGCCTTTGAGCGCAAGGTCCCACCGACTTGCGCTCAGCCGTGTTCCCCCACCTCCGTTTCACCCTCCGGCTCGATACGGGAACAGGGACTTGCACTGCGAGCCGCTCTCGGCAGGCCCCCGTGAGCCGCAGGCCCCCTGCCCCCCCCCCTCGCTCTCCTCCCCTGTCGTGTCTCCGCCACCGATTTCTTCTCGAAGGAACGCCGGAGTCTGCCATGATTTTTCTCTTGTGCCAATTTCTCGCTGTGAATCATTTTTCCTGCATGTCTGATGGCCCAAACTGTATTAACTGTAATTTTGTATGAAGAGTGACTGTCCATTGGTTTAATAGAACGTTAGTTATTGTAATAATTTATTGGCTGTCGGTAATGTATTTATTAGTTACGAAATGATAATAAAGTGCCAGCTCTTTTCTAGTGTGAGAGGGTTTTTATTGCGTCTCCCTTGAGCGTGTTAAACGTCTTGAAACTGTTGTTGACTGCACTTTCACTCCATGCATGGACATACACAATGCGTGCACGTGCTTTCATAGCTCCTGCAAGCATCAGAGCGGCTGGCTGTCAGACAGACGTCAGTCATGGGTCACGTCGACTTTCTCCTGGAGGTATGGAATTTGAAAAGCATACGACCAAAAGGTATTTATTTTATATGAGTGTTTGGTGTTGGTTTTTTTTTTCAAAGTAGAAAAGCAACTTTACCGTAGTTTGTGCTTGTTCCTTGGCTGCTTGAAATTAGACTGTTTCTCTTCTAAAATTCTTCAATGCTGTTTTTACGTCAGCAAACTCAGAAATACATTTGTGAATGATTACTTGTCAAAAACGAGGTGCATTTGTGCATCTCGCTGCCAGTGTGGTCCAGAGCTGCAGCCATTCAGTGTGAAGTTTGAAATGGTGCCGGTCCTGAGCCACCGTGGCCTCAGTGCTGGGCTGATCACGACTGACGAGTCTCTTGACACTCAGCCTACTGAGAAATCGCGCCTTGTCTCAAGGAAAACAGAGCCAGCCCCAGCTTTCGTGTAGTGAGTTCACACCTCGGAGACCAGACGGACGTTTGTTCTCAGGATACCTTGGATGTCATATTACGTTTAACGGGACCATCTGCAAGGCATTGCCTCACCTCCCGCGCTGCGGGATAGACCACGCTTTGGCGTCTATCTGTTCGCATCCAGCAGATTTTGCCCCTCGCGCTGCATTTGTCGCGACACACAAAGCTGCTGGGCAGGTGTTGTGTTGCGACGCGCAGCCTGAGCCGGGCCGAGGACTCCGAGTTACCAGAGGTGTCCTCATCTGGCAGCAAGTCAGGGCTCCGAATTTTGAAAGCAGACAAAACCACAGGTTTCAACACAGTGACTGCTTTTTTCTGACCTGACACTTTATGGGCTGCTTTACCTGCACGTGACAAAAAAGCTGCATGGTCGTCCCAAAAATGGAGGGTCATGACTCATTTCTGAGCTATTTCAGAGAAGGGCATGTGCACTAGCAACAGCACAACTGAAATGGGGCAGTGATTTGTGCGTTCCTAAGTCCCGGAGCAGTGAGAGAGCTTCAGTTTCCACTGTGGTCAGCATCTAGTTTAAAGATTTGGCCATTTTGTATGACCAGTGTTTAACCCAACATAAACAGCTGCATAAAAACCATTTAAATGTAAGTGAATCATTGATAAAATACAGTGATTTTCCAAGTAGCTAGCATGTCTGACTGCTGTAAGTATCTACCCGATATCTTAGAAATGTCTCAGTTGTTTGTGTGTTACCAGAATATCCCTGCTGCTCCATTTTCTCCTCCAATATTTTGGTTGCAAATCTATTACAAGTAGCAAGTTGCTCATTTCTTTCCCACCATCTCTTAGCATAAGCCTTGCAAGCACAGAGAGAAAATAGCTATTTTTCCTTTATTCCAATAAATCATACTTTTTCCCCATTACAGTAACACAATACTTGGAGTACCTTTCTGTCCCTTTAAAATAACACTGGTGTCAGTTTTTCCTTTTATATTCAAACCAAAGGTCTTCCATTATTTGCAGCGTGAGATAGAAACCAAGAATAGGAACTTGAAGAAACCACGGCAAAATTTTCCATAAACCTTTTCCATAAGAAAATTAAACATTCTCCTTACTGATTCCACCTATTTTCAGTGATACATCTTTGGTATAACCCCTTCCCAGACTCACATTCTCATACAGCCCGTCCTGCAGATAAGACAGAATTATGGGCCTGTTCTGAGAAGAACAAATTAAATATATTAGAGAGTCTTTTCTCTTTGAACAATTCCACTGTGGATTTTAAAACATTTCCTCTAGGATGCCATCCTGTCTAGACCTTCTGCATGGATATTCAGGGCTCAGAAGTTATCAGTTATTTTCATCGCACTTGGGGCATTTATTCCCCAAGATAGGTCCTTTGTTTCCTCTGCTCCTCCACCAACAATACCATCCCCATCCCTTTTTTTTTTTTTTAATACGACATAACAATGGGGATAAACAAGGAAGTAAAAACCGCCAGATCACCTGCCATGAAAATCTCAAGGCCTAGCATTTTGGCAAAGGCCACTTGATCAAGTCAAGTGAAGAAAAGCCGCATCCGTTGGTGGCGGTTTCTCTTTGTCCCTATGAATAAGATTTTTAAAAGATAAGTATTGAATAAGGTTCAGAGGCTTTGGAAAGTGACTGCTCCGCATTCACAGCTACTCTTTGCCAAGCCAATGACAGAGTAATCTCAAGGTTACAAGCCTATTAAGACAAAATCAGACATCTGCTAAATTTTGCATGCAACATCTACCGTCGAACCGTAGCTAATAAAATGATTCACTAATAAAATATTCATGGTAAACTCCAAAATGTGTAATTGGGTCATCATTTCAGTAGGAAACATGTATGTTCTCCTGACTCTTATGTAAGGTCTCAAGCCCTCGTTGCACCGCCAGCAGAAGGGATCTGGTGGGCTGGCTGGAATATGTGCGCTATAGGAGGCTTTTCCCAACGGGCTGCGGAGCACTGTCGCACGCCTTGATGCTCGTTCCTGCTCTCGCGCTTTGCACAGTACTTTTCTAAAGAGCTGGGTCTTGCATTGCGAGTGGTAGGTCGCAAAGGCAGGGCTCTAACTGCTCAGCCCCAAGAAGCAGTTTCAGAGACCCTCCTGCAAAACGAGGCAGGTCGTGCAAGTGTCCCACTGGCACGGTAAGGGGCAGAAATCAAAGTTTTTACCTCAGACTTCATTAGTTCCTTGTTTCGCTTGGGTAGTTTGGCAGGTACAAGTAGTCAATTAGGTGAATATACATGTTGAGAAAGTGGGTGGACTGCCTAAAATTTCTCCCCAAATCTTCAGGGGAACAATAGGAAATGTCTTTGCTTATTTTAAGAACACGTTAATGATGGAGAAAAGAGTTTTTGAGAGCTCCTGCAGAGCTGCACCTATTCTAACCAATTGCACCCCCGCATTCCCACCCTTCGCACTAACAGCTAGCGCACGCAACTGGCCGCGCAGAGACATCTTGCAGCAATTTAAACAAAGAGTTAAAATACTCTGCTTACTGGTGTGGCAACTAATTCAGAGTAGGCTGGCCTCATCTGCTCCTTTCACTGTTCCTTCCCTCTCTCCTGTCTGCTCTCCCCTTCCTCCTGATAACAACTTCCGTAGCATGGTGGGAATAGGCTTTACGTGATGTGTGCCCACGTGTGAAAGGACAATTCATTAAGAAGCTGCAACTCATAGCGAATCGCCTCTGTCCATGTTCCTGCCAAAACTCTTCCATGCTTAAAGTCTCCCCAGAGCAGCCCGCTCAGGAGAGCTGTGAGATGGGCTAGCGGAGAGTAGCTGCATCTATTTCCTACGTGCAGCAGTGTTGGGATTTCTTAGCAATGACCTGGCTGTTACTGTGGCATTTTCAAAGATGAAGAAGATTTGTCAAGGGGCATAAGAGCCCAGCTAGAGTATGATCTCCCCCGGCCTCTGGCCATGTGCTCAGCATCAGTCTTGCTGGAACGGCACTGGTTGTTTGGTGCAACGAGTAACCTGCTGCCACAAATCCACCTAAATCCCCATGCCCAGCACTTCCCAGTGGCTGGCAGCTGTGGCTGACTGCTCTGTCCTTCTGTGAATGATTTTTTCAAGGGCTCTCAACCCCTGCAGATGTGTCAGACCAGAGACAAACGGCGAGACTGAAGGGCTGTGGCTGCAGTCCCCTTTCCCAGTCCTCTGCCTTTAGGCAAGTGACAAGCAAACGACAGCGGTTTTTTTCACTATTCTTTAAGGCTCCAGGTATGAGCCTTTGCTAGGAGTGGATCGCAAAGAGGCCCCGCGGAGAGGAGCGGCTGGAGGCTGCAGCACAGGGCAGGCCCAGCGCTGCGCGCGCGGAGATCCTGCTCACTAGGACCCTCCCCACTCCTCGAGCCTGCCTTGACCTGAGGAGAACATGCCATCTTCTCCTCAGCCTTGTAACCATCTCATGTTTATCACTGTCTTATTTTAGAGATTTTGCTTTCTAACCATTTCAGTTTGGAAAAAGTTCTCCTCTCCTCTATCTAACTCTCTCTTTCTCTTTGCCTTTCTCTCTCCTTTTTCCTCCCTACATGCTCCCTGTTACAGAACCGCATGCACGAATCTCTCATGCTCTTCGACTCCATCTGTAACAACAAATTCTTCATTGATACCTCCATCATTCTCTTCCTCAACAAGAAAGACCTATTTGCCGAGAAGATCAAGAAATCACCTCTGACCATCTGCTTCCCTGAATATACAGGTATGTGCCGCGGCTGACGGCTGCCCAGCCTGCCCAGCCTGCCCGGGGCAGGAAGGAGGAGTGACACACAACCTTGCAGCACGGACCTGGGGGTTAGGGAGCGGCACGCCAAGGTCCGGCCAGAGGACTTGGCTTAAAGCCAGGGTAATACGTTCCCATGAGAGTGGCCTAGTGCGGGGACAGAGCTGCCAGACTGTCCCATTTAGCACCTCACACACAGAGAGGGGGAGGAGGTGATTGACAGATCATCTTTACAGGGCAGCAAAAGAGCTGCCCACCTTCGGGAGGGCTGTACGCTTCTGCCACCCCAAGGGCTGGCTCTTAGGGATGAGTCATGCCCTGCGCAGGGTAAATTCTTGCAGCAAAGGTGTACGACCTGCCAACGGGACAGAGAGGCAGGTCTTAAAGGTACCATCCGAAAGCAGTGAGCTCTGCGGTCTAAAGCACCGGTAGTAGCCAGTGAAGCAACGCGATTGTCTTGAGTGCTTGTAATAACGTTAAGCCACCCTTAGAAGCTTATAGCCAATCTGTGCCCGTGGACATGCTCCTGAGGTGTTGCATAAGTGCAGGCTTGAGGTCCTCTTCCCAGTCCCTCCGTATAAACCCTGGTTCTGCAGACTCTTAACCCCCACACTCAGCTTCTCAACCACAAGAGCTGTCAGATTCCCAGGAAATTAAGCCCTTGCCAAGGACTGGGGAAGGGAGCTGTCTCTCTCCCTCCCTCCCTCCCTTTGCAAGGGTTTGTGGAGCCCTCTGCCCTCTGGCATCTGTCTCTGCAGTAGCTCTCCGTTCATCAAAACACAGATTATTATCAACCTTTGCAGCCTCCTTCTGGGTTTTAGCTGTTATCTTGTTTTTAAGTGAAATTCATGACCCTCAGTAGTTTAAGTTGCTTGGTGTGAGACCAATAAGTGTTCTTTACAATATAAATGGAGAGTGTTCTTAAAAAGTCTGACCATATTGAGTCGCAAAATGGAGAAGCAGGAGCATTGGTGAGTAGCAGACTGTTCACCCAGCCTGACACTAGCAATCACTATCAGGATTACTGCTGGTCTTACTGGAGGTTTTCTTAAATATGAGCTAAAGCACCTAAAAACTACCTAGCTGGATCAAACTATCATGTCCCATCTCCTGTCTGTGCAGTGGCCAGAGTCAGAGATCTTAGAGAAAGGCATAAATCCAGGTAGTCCATGGGGGTTATTTTAGCCCCTGCAGTCCATCTCAGAAGTAGAAAGATGCACACTCAGGGAGAAGCTTTAGTTTCATGCCTGTGAGATACTCGCCCTTCACTGTCAGAGGAACCAATGCAGAAACGTTTTCGGTGATGCAGAGCAAACCAGTGTCCGCGCTTGTCCGGAAGGTAGATTTCCAAACCTCTCACCCCAGGCTCCAACCTCTGGGCAAGCTGCTCTCGCGTCCACCCATCCAGGGCTCCGCCAATTCATCTTGCCTAACCGTGATACGCAGCCAGTTCGGACCTGGCACTTAAAGCAAAAATCTGAAGGTATACCAGCACCCTAGCAGATGGTGAGCATGCTAGCACGGCGCGCGACAAGCGCAATAGGCTCCAGCAGGACACCTTTGTGTTAGCGAGCTTCCCCACGTGTCGGCACAAGCACTTCCTAGCTACAGTTTCACAGATTTTCTTCAGCTAAATTATCTGCCACCTTCTGTCAGGGTCAAGTTCACAACTCACCCATTTATGCACAGGAAAAAGCAAAATGCAGATCTACATCTCTCACCAGCGTGCAGCGTATAGTCCTCTAAAGAAAAGAGGAAAAAATAATAAATACCTATAAAAGAGAACAGTCCAGCTGTTAAAACAAAACCAGGACCATGAGACTCCCTCAGACAACCCTGCCAATGCCAGCGCTCAGCTGCGTTCACGCAGATCTCCCTGCACAGCAGACAGCCACCAGGACGTGTTGTGGAAGGTCAGGGAAGCAGGAGGAACCAGCACAAAACTGGCAGCCGCTACTGTAGAGAACGGGACACC